TGTAAATAGTGGGTGTATTAATCAGGCCGTGGGCCTAAGTAAATATACAATTTTTATTTTGTCGCAGTTAAGTGATGACGTCTTGTCAGACGGTGTAGGAAAACGACTTCGATACCAGGGGTCAAAACGGTTCGAAAAAGAAAGGAAAGCTTAATCCTATTGAGCACAAAAATATGTGAATTACATTTCTTGTTTATTGCTTATGTTTTTAAACCAAATTTACCTAGGAATGGTATACATTACTGTGAAAGAAAATGGTTTGATATAAGGAAAACAAACCTATTTTCAAGCTTAGCTAGGGCCTAAGAAATATTTTTTGTCATAGCTACGCATTACTGCAGAGAGGGATTTCCAAGATTAAATTTTTCTTTTAGTCTTCGAGTTTGGACGGTCCCCATAAATCTGTTGATACAAAAGGAACCAATATAATGAAAGACAAATTTAATAATCCAAAGCACATAGTAGGGTCCCCATGTGTACAGTTTATGTGTAATGAATATCTTAAATTGCAAATGTGCGGATAACTTATTAATACACTTTATTGAATGGTCTAGTAATTATTATTGCTTGTGCGACCGGATAACGAGTTACAGTTAAATAACTCAGTCGCATAAAACTATGCATTGAATAAGGCTCAGTTAATTTGGAATTACTGGTGCGTTGTTTGTTAGGAAGGAGAAGGAGGGGGAAGTGGGTGGAACTACGAAAACCATTGAACCAATATGACAATATGAAATCCGTTGGAGGACATAAGGGAAACGGAAACAGACTACATCAAAATGTGACATCGGGTAAGGTAATCAAACCAACGCTAATTTTGTGAGAGGTAAGCAGCCTCAACAAAGCTCCACCCCTGCTGAATTGACTTCTATGTTTCGAAGGAAAGTTACCTAGAAGTAACCGGCCTTATGAATATCAAATGTTTGACATACTTAAGCCATTTCTACCCCGGCGACGTACTCTTGGATCGACTGCGGCTGCGGCGAATCATGGGGCGTGCTGCATCGTCTGAATCGCTATGAAATGTTATGATAGAGACAACACAGTTAGTCACTCGGTTGAAATCGCCACCATTTTGTGATATTAAGGTACTGCGCAAACGATAATCGTCGTTATTGCGATAATTCCGATATATCGGCAATATTTGAACAATATTTCAGTTGGAATGATAGATCGGCGACGTATCGCAGTGCTACTGTTCTTGCAGCTGTTATATATCGCCGATCTATCGTTTAGCTCCAAGCGAATGATCTTTTTCTTTCAGCGATATATCCTTTAAGCCAAACGATACATATCGCTTCAGCTCAACGATATATCGTTTTCGCCTCCTCGATATATCGTTTACATCCAACGAGGTATTCATGCCACCCAATGATGTCTCGTTTACACTGAGCGATATATCGTTCCAGCTTAGCGACATATCCTTCCGGTGACCTAGATATCGTCACCTCCAAGCGTTTGAACGGTAAGGCAATATTGCGCTCTTCGTCGAATTTCTTAGCAGACTTGCACTGTCCAAGGTTTATCTATTGCAGGAGAAGTCATCTCTCAAATTAGCATAGTTTCTGGGAGTATGATGAATTAACGTCGGTTTCGCTGGATGTTCGCCACAAGTTCGCTACACATATGCAACTTCACTACCTCAGCTAACTAAGTTGACTACCGCACAAAGAATGATAAATTCTAAGGAAGGCTATTTCAACATTTTATTTACTGATAGAGCCTATTAAGTATTATTCTAATCCCGGTTGAAGTCAAATTCGATGAGGCTGAAATTTCTTCTTATCTGTGTGCTTAATTGGTGGTGATAAAATACGATTTTTAGAGTGAATTTCTACTTTAAATTTGGTACCTTGAAGGATTTTCATCCATAGAATCGTTCCTGACTGTCATGTTGTTTCCGTTTCCACATGTAGTAAAATTAAATGTTAGAGCGATAGCAAGAATCGCTCCATACACAGCGATAAGGAGGAACCTGTTCATGGCGAAGTCCTCCCTCCTTCTGGGTCGCACGCTTAGGTGCATGGTACATTTTGTACCTTATTATAACAAGAACAAGAATATGATTTACATATTACGTGATAGCCTTAGAGGAGCCTACTTTATCAAGAGATCAAGAGTTCCTTTTCATCAATATCAAATTTTGTTATTTTGATGTAGCCAACAGGGAGGACATATTTGACCAAAACATTACTTCTGGTGCGAAAAAGTTCTGTAAATTACGCGATATTGGGTTGTCTGAATTGAATTAATGTCTTTTCTAAAATCTTAACATATTCATAGTTAAACAATTCTCTCGTTTCTTAAAACAGACCGTGTCAGTAACAAAGGACAGGGAGAGCACTTCCTGACAAATAACCAAGTCTATTCGATGCTAATTAGAACTAAACGTCGATGCTTTTCTTCCTTTGTGTCGTATTTTGAAGAGCCCACGAGTCTGATAAGCTGTGGTGCACAGTGCATTACAAATCCTTTGATAGTGAGTACAAGTGAGTGATCTCCATATTGTGTTTTTGAGTTCTAAGAGCCTTCTTTATCAGCAGATAAAGTGCTCGATCAGTCCTGTTCACCAATATCTAAGTTTGGTATGTGGGCCTTATTATGTTTTACAACCTGGTCTAACCGGCTTCGAGGACGAAATAACCCAAAATACCTCTACAGGTGCGCTATGATCATTATTTATCCAGTTCACTCTTTTCTTAAAACTGATCAGTTTATTGGGAAAAGAAAAAGAGAAGAAAAACACTTCTGCTAATCTTTGAATAGCCTAATCCAACTTTCCTTCAATATTCTAGCTTTAATAAAGGCTCCATCATGAAAACTATATTTGTCTATTGACGTAAGCATCTGAAGTGTTTTCTTTTTCTTCCTCTTCTTCTATAATATTCAGTTGTTTATGTAAGCGCGCCACATGTCATGTTACTCCTAATGATATACATGAAAAAATCACTATGTTCTGATTGGTTAAGATATATGCAGTTTTCAAGTAATTCAATGCAGAAGAGGGTTAATTCAGTGCAAAGAAGTAACAAACCAAACATTCTGATTGGTCAATGATCAAAGAAACTCATAAATAGCCAATCAAATGCGAGCCTTGGATGTCGCAACAGTTGGATACGCTGAAAATTCGCGAGCGAAACGATGGCCGGCGTTTTAAGTAGGTTTTCTTTCGCCACCGCAACAACAATACAGTAGCTGAAAAACAGCTCTAACAACGAAAACACTGTGAAGAGCACTGCTTTTTAGTTGTCGGTCTGGAGAAAGTGGTGTTTAGAGAAGGGAATTGCCAGGGAAATGGAAAATTACGAGCCGACCCAGCTTAAAACTTTGCTCGAGCAATTCTACGCCGAAATTAAAAACAAACATGGTTATACCTCGGAAATGACGATTCCATTTCATCGAAAGTGATTCGGACACAGACTGAAAAGTTCCTTTAACTTTTAACCCCTATTTGAACGTATTGGCGTCTTGAAGATGTGAAAATATCATTGTATATTATTGTTTTGAGTGTACGCGGTTGTTTTCACCGAACGCACGGTTGGAATAAATTATTTTTGAACTTGATGCGCGCGCTTTGCTTCTGCATAGTTATGTTAGGCTGTCTCGTTTTTTTTTTCATGTATATTATTAATACGTAATCCCATGATTTTCTCGTGCAGTTTGGAATAAATAATCGCTTATTAATTTTTTTAAAGAGCACAAATTGCACTCCCCCTACGGGCTTGTGCAATTTCGTTAGTCGTCAAAAAACTAACTCATGCTAACTCATTCCAAATTGCATTCGAAATCATATGATTACCTATACTAATTGTAATTGCTGTCTCCTATTTGCGCCTGTAGGTGCTCAAAAGGCTTCTTGCTGCACACCTCGTACTCTTGATTATAATGCGGAAGTATGATGCCTTGACCATTTAGTCATCTTAGCGTAGAGGAGAAGAGTTAGAAAAAACCTGTTCTCTAATCGGTCATGTTGTCAAAATTTCCCAACGAGCGTGGCACAATAACGATGCAAGTTATAAAGTTGCGTCTCTATTTGTATAGGCACAGTGCTGACACAAAATACAACCATTTTGAATTAGGTTGCAAAGAAACAGCCGCAGACACCACCCCACTGAAACTCAAAATCAAGAAATGAACACCATGGGAGACTGAGAAAATTTGCCAAAAAACGTAAACGTCTGCATGAAGCCGCATATCTGAATGACTCTCGACCAACACCTGAAATTAACACGAACTTTGGTAATGCCCGAGACGCACTTAAGGAAACCTATGGGGCGGAGCAATCAGAATATCAAAGGTCTGCTATTGCACGAAAAACTGTAGACGGTTAAGTGGAAGGAAAAGTAGTAACAGAGGCAAACTAAAAGCATCGAATCAAGACGAACGTGTAAATCTTTGGCAACAGCATTTTCAAGACCTTCTTGGTAAACCACCAATAACTCCAGTCTTAAAAAAAGAAAAGGACTTTTCGCTATGAAGGAACTGTTGATACCTGCGGAAGTTTGGAAAATAGATGACTTCCACCCATTATTGTTGGATTTCTGCAACAATGTATATAATCAAGATCCCATAAATAGCCGGAGAGAAGGATGCCTGCTCCCAATCCCCAAAAAAGGCAACCTCGTGATCACCAAGAATTACCGCGGAATAACATTGACAGCAATTGCAGCAAAGATTTACAACCTGATGCTCCTAAACAGAACAAGACCCAAACTCGACCGAGTCTTGAGAAAAAACCAAAACGGGTCCCGCATAAACCTATCAACCTCAGGACAAAAACTCACCATCAGATGTATCTTGGAGGGCATTAAAATGAAAAAACCTTTTAGCTGCTCTCCTGTTCATCGAATTTTCAAAAGCCTTTGATTCGATCCACCGCGGAAAGATGAAAGAGATCTTATCCGTTTATGGAATAACCAAGGAAACAGTGGATGCCATCATGATACTGTATCATGACACCAGCTCTATGGTTCGCTCTCCTGGTGGAGACACAGACTTCTTCGATAACAGTGCTGGAGTCCTCCAAGGTGATAAACTAGCCCCATGCATATTCATTATATGTCTTGACTATGTACTGCGTAAAGCTCTGGACAAGAACAATGAACTTGGCTTTGCCCTCGCAAAGCGGAAGAGCAAACGTGACCCAGCTATGAAAATAGCAGATACAGACTGTGCTGAGGACTTAGCAGTGCTGGCTGACGTCCTAAAAGATACGACATTTCTTCTGCACAGCATCGAAAGAACAACAAAGATGATAGGGCTCTACCTCAATGCAGATAAAACAGAGTTCATCTGCTTTAATCAAGATGCGTCATAAGAGATGAAGAGACTCAGTGGTGATAAGAGAAAGCAGGTGGAAGATTTTAAATACCTAAGAAGCTACATCGCCTCTACTGAACATGATGTTCACAGTAGACTGGGAAAGGTGTGGGATGCTCTAGATCAACTGGATAAGATATGGAAATCAAACCTTCCAGCCAACCTGAAAAGAAACTTCTTTCGAGAGGGAGTGGAGCCCGTCCTTTTATATGGTTCAGTCTCCTGGACCTTAACAATATCTGGAAAAGAAAATCGACGGAGCATACATTAGAATGCTACGCACTGCCTTAAACAGATCGTGGAAGGATCACCCCACAAACGAAAAGCTCTACGGCCACATCCCGCC